GTGTCGTCGGGTGGTCTCGCCAGCACCGCGAGCACCTTCCCGCGGCGGACGAAGTCGACGAACTGAGGTTCCCACCGAATGTCGCCATTGCTCTTCATGGCGCAGTCTTCGCTCTGGAGGTCCACCCGGAGCACATACACGCGCCCCTGTTCATTAGTAAGAAAACTCTCGGCAAGGCCTTGGAACAGTTCCCTGGACACCTCCCCCCTTCCAAAATGAACGACGTATTTTGGTCCCTCGTCTCGGACGGGGCGGGGGACAAACAACCGAGGGTCCATGGGCTCCCTCCGCAACGTCACTTTCGGCTCTTCAACCGCATGCGGCTGAGGCAACTCCGGCACGCAGATCGGAGGTCCTGGTCTCCGGACAGGGGGGGCGGCAGCAAAATTATCTTGAAGCCCCATGGATCTATTCCGACGGTGTTCCTCCCGTCGCGCGGCTCGCGCAGCATCGACCTCCCCCGGGGCAGGGCGGGGTGGCCAATTTCTCCAGGCCTCTCTACACGCTCGGACCTGTTGCACATGTTTGAGTAAACGCCCTTGCGTGTGGTAGTCATACCGGCACGCAGGGCATTCGGTTCCGGTGACGAAGTGGGGGGGGTCAAAACCACTCGGGTGCCACCTGGCACGGTGCGCCCGCAGTTGCCTCTGGGACGGCAACGTTGTTCCACATTCGTAGCACACGAACTTCGCACCCACCTCAACCTCCGCCCACAGGAGGGGGGAAGCTTCCGCCGCTTTCTGCAGGTCACGCTGCCAACATCTCCGATGCGTCTCATCGCGATGCGCCGACCGAGCACGGTCAAAATGGCGCGGAAGGCGCCTCAGCAGTACCCTCCTCCTCCTCCTCCTCCTCCTCCTCCTCCTCCTCCTCCTCCCCTCCTCCTCCTCCTCCTCCTCCTCCTCCTCCTCCTCCCCTTCCTCTCCCTCCTCTCAAGTAACATCTGGGCTCAAGCCGTTTGGCACCCGCAGCCCAGGTCCCTCGGCACCTCCGCTTGGCACTCGAGGGGCCACTCGGCGCGCGCTTTCGGCAGAGTGGCGGCTGGAGTTGGCGAAGACCGAGGAGAACCAGGCTAGGATCGTGCGAAATCGATATTGTGCTATTTGACATGGAGTGTACCATCACAGGGATGCGAGAAAACCTACCAAAAGCCGACGACGCACATTACGGCGGCCGAAGCTAGCGACGGGCAGACAGGCGATCCTGGACTGCTACGTTGCCGATGTCACCAGCAGCTGGCACCAACGTCTGCTGGGAAGAGCCGCTAAAGGCTACCGACAGGGTGCGGGAGACGATCTTCGGCACGCTAGAGGCAGCCTTCGGGAAGCTGGAGGCGATCTGCGAGACACTGGTGGCGATCTTCGGGACGCTGCGGAAGTTCCCCGTGACGCTGGAGGTGTCCTACGTGACGCTGGAGGCGATCTTCGGGGCGCTGGAGACGATCCTCGGGACGCCGCAGAAGACCTACGTGACGCTGACAGCGAGCTTCGGGACGCTGGAGGTAATCTTCAGGACGGTGGAAGTGATCTACGGGACCCTGACGGCCATCTTCGGGACACTGGAGGTTATCTCCGGGAAGCTGAAGATGATCTTCGGGAAGCTGGTGGTAATATCCGAGACGCTGGCGGCGATCTTCGGGACGCTGGCGGCGATCCACGTGGTGCTGGAGGCGACCTACGGGACGCTGAAGGCGATTTTCGGAACGCTGGAGGCGAATTTTGGGATGATGAAGGGGATCTTCGGGACGCTGGAGGTAACCTTCAGGACGCTAGAGGAGATATGGAAGCGCCTTGGGGGCGTCTGAAGGCCCTCTTACGATACAGTGGAAAGGATCTTCGGGATTCTGGAGGCGACCTGCGTGACGACCTTCGGAGCGCTGGCGAAAATACCTGCGGAGCTGGAGGCGATCTTCCGGACGCTGGAGACGATCTTCGGGACGCCGCAGAAGACCTACGTGACGATGAATTGATTTCGGTCGGCATAAAGGCCGATAAGCCGACAGACATCATTAAGGGAGATCTTCGGGACGCTGGAGGCGATCTGTGTGACGATCTTCGGAACGCTAGCGAAGATTCACCCGACGCTGGAGGCGATCTTCGGGACGTTTGAGGCTTTCTGCGTGACACGGGAGGCTTCTTCGAGACGCCGCGGAAGACCTACGTGACGCTGGCGGCGATCGTCGGGAAGCTGGAGGTGATCTACGCGGCGCCAGAGGAGATCTACGGGCTCCTGACGGCGATCTTCGGGGCGCTGGAGGCGATCGACGAGACGCTGGAGCGTCGATAGTCGGAACGCTGGAAGCGTTCTGGGCGGTGGAGAGCATCTTCGAGACGCAGGCGCTGGAGGCTCCCTCTTGGACGCTGGCGGCGATCTTCCGAACGTCGCGAAGCCAGACGGTGAAATGCGCAGCGGCATGATGGTGGAGGTAGTCGGCCACGCCCACGCGGCCCTGAATGACACCGTCGGGAAGTTGGGCAAACTCGTCGCCGCAAAAGGGCAATGGCAAATATTCATGGAAGGGGTTGGCGGGTTCGGCAGGCAGTTGAAGCCATCCGTCCAAGGCTTTCCCCTGATACAACTGAAGTCGACGGCCCCGCCAGAGCCTGACAATCCAATCATTCGGTGCCCGGAGAGGATGAATCTGCACTTCAAGTCCAGTAGTTCCGATCAGCAGTACTCGAGCCATGGCGCCTGGGTCGGAAGACCTTCGTGCATCTTTGCTTGCGATTGCGTCTGTGTTGCCGTACGACGTCGGCAGCGGACATGGTGAGTGCGAGATTGAGATCAGCCTCCTGCCGCTCCGGATGCTCGTCGGCCTCGTCGACGTCGACCTGACGAGCACGGTGCGCCAGGAGCCCGCGCCCGCCGCCCCGACCCACGCCGCGCACTGAGCGGGTCGGGCGACGGCGGGGGCGCGGCCCCCCCATCGGCGGGGCCGCGGGCGGCGCGCGGCGCGCGCCCGCCGCCCCGGCGACACCGTCGCTGACTGCGTCCTGCGTCCTCCTCCCCCTCCTCCTCCTTCTCCCTCCTCCTCCTCCTCCCTCCCTTCCCCCCTCCCCCATACCCCCCTCTCTGCGCGTGGCCGCGAGGCAGCCCCGAGAGACCCCCAGGCCAAGCTCCCTAAGCCACGCCAAGAGATGGGACAAGAAAAGCCTGCCCAAGCACTATTTGTTTGCATCGGCGGCAAGGCAGGGATCGTCTGCGCTACCGGAACGGGAATACCGTTGAAGCGAATTGTCTCGCGGAGCACGCGAGCCGCGCGCTGCGCTGATGGATGGGCTTGCTGGCGCAAGACATATCGCCGTGACCTCTCTGCAGACCCCCCACATGTCTATTTCGCATTCAAAGCAGCCGCGGAAAAGTACGTGGGACATCGCCGGAACAAAACAATCCTCGGTGGATATTAAGACGTCGTCCAGGGGAGAGGGGAAGGGGGGGGGGCGGCAGTTTGCGGGCACCATGCAGGGGGGGGGGGGGGGGCAAAGGAGGCGGCCGCAAGAGGGGGAGGGGGGGAGCGAGCCGCTCAGGGGGACGGGTCACGCCCCGAGCGAGTGGCGCGGCCAGCTCAGCCGGCGGGCCCGCGGCGGCTGCGGCACGGGCACGAAGCAGGTCGGAGGTCCGCGCGGATGTCATGTCTCGGGGCTGGGCCCCCCTCTCTTTTTGACTCCGCGGGTGGCGCTGCAGGCGCTAACCGTCGAGGGTCGAAAGAGAGAGAGAGAGAGAGGGAGAGGGAGAAGGCCTTCCCGATGCGTCTTCGGGGAGGAAGGAGGAGGAGGAGAAGGAGGAGGAGGAGGCTCAGACAACTTCTCAGACGGCCGGGAGGGCTTCCGAGCCTTCCGAGAAGGCCCGCCCCCTCTCAGAGCCGCCACCGTCGCCTAAAGCGAACAGACAGCAGGGCTCCCCGCCTGCTCCAGAGGAGGAAGAGGAGCCGAAGGAGGAGGAGGAGGAGGAGGGAGGAGGAGGAGGAGGAGGAGGAGAGAGAGGAGGAGAAGAGAGGAGGGGAGGAGGAGGAGGAGGAGGAGGAGGAGAGGAGAGGAGGGAGAAAAAATGGGGGGAGGAAGGGGAGGAGGAGGAGGAGGAGGGAGGAGGAGGAGGGGAGGAGGGAGAGGAGGAGAAGAGGAGGAGAGGAGGGAGGAGGGGGAGGAGAGGAGGAGGAGGGAGGAGGGAGGAGGAGGAGGAGGAGGTGGAGGAGGAGGGAAGAGGAGGGGAGGAGGGAGAGGAGGAGGAGGGAGAGGAGGAGGAGGAGAGGAGGTGGAGGAGGAGGGAGGAGGAGAGGGGAGGAGGAGGAGAGGAGGTGGAGGGAGAGGAGGAGGAGAGAGGAGGTGGAGGAGGAGGTGGAGGAGGTAGAGGAGGAGGAGGAGGAGGAGGAGGAGGAGGAGCGCGCCAGAGGCGGCGTCGCCGGGGGGGGGAGAGCGCCCTGCGCCGACCCGAGAAGTCTGCGCGGACCCCCGAGCGTCTGTGCTTACGCCGACCTACGACGGTGAGGCCAGGTCGGGCATGTCCTCCTGCAGGCGGATTTGGGGAGGACAACAAAATCAAAACATGCCCAAAAATCACCCCCAAAAGCACGAAAAAGCGTCACCCGACGAGTTGTATACTATCCTTGAAGATTCCCCCTGTAAAGGGACATGCCCGACTTAACGGTGAGGGCATTGGAAAAGGAACCACTGGAAAAGGAATCCAGGGTATGGAAGCCAGGGGGACTCGAATCGTAAATTGGCCATGGTGCACCAGAAAGCAAACGACACCACCCCCACCTACGACCCCACAGGCCTTAGCATCTACCCTAAATTCCGGCTGGGGTTTTTGCGTGGTGTAACTACACTAAGGCCCCCGATGGGCCGCAGCGCAGCATAGAGGGCCGTGGGTGGTGGTGTGATTTGTTTTTTTGTCGACCTGGGAATCACCGCAGCCCTCATCGGAAAGGAATCCTCCAGTGCCTGAAACCTCCTGGGCACATTCTTTAACCCACGCCCCCACCGTCCGTGTTTTTTTTTCTCCGAACGATACGAGCCCATCCCAGAGAAGCCTCAACGGGGGGAACAAACACGAGACCGTCACAGGGGCTGCCTCCCGAGCAGAAAGCAGCATTGAAGCACGGACTTTCAGACCTCCGCGCCGACCCGAAAAATCCGCACCGATTTCCGAAAACTCATGCTCACGGTCAGGAATGTTTGCATAGCGCGTCGCGTCGGCCACCCCCGCGACGTGCCAGGCTCGGCAAACGGAGAGCGCGTCGCTCCGCTACGCGGGGCGGGAGGCTGGGCAGAGCGCGGGGCGTAAACGCTCGGAGACCAAAACCTGGATAGCGCGTCCTTCCGAGGCGTGGCAGGCCAGAAGCCGGCGGAACGACGCGCGGAGCCAAAGCTCCATGTTCGATAGAGCCCCGCCTCGTGCAGCCCGCGGATGACGCCGTCCACCACGAGCGCGTTCTTCAGCACCTTGCGCACCGCGGTCATCAGGTCCGTGACCTGCCGGGGCCGATGCCGGGCCCTCCGAGGGGGGCGGCCCGTCACCTTCGCCTCACCTCCCCCCCCTTCCCTCCCATTTCCGCTCCCCTCACCTTCACCCTGGTCCTCCTCTGCCCACCCCCTCTCCAGGCCCTCCTCCTACTCCCCATCCCCCTGCTACCACTTCCCCTCCGCATCATTATCAAAATCACAGCCATCATCATCATCAACATCATCATCATCACCATCATCATCATCATCAGCATCAACATCAGCATCAACAGCAGCATCATCATCACCATCACCATCATCATCATGATCGTCATTATCATCGTCGTCATCATCATCAGCATCAGCATCACAATCAGCATCATCAACATCACCATCATAATCATCGGCATCATCATCATAATCGTCATCATCATATTCAGAATCAGCATCATCATAATCAGCAACATAATCAGTACAATGGGCAATATCATCAACATCATCAACAGCAACAACCAAATTAACATCAACAACGTCAGCATCAATATCATCATCATCAGAAGTATCACGATCATCGTCGTCATGATCACCATCATGAGCAGCATCCTCACCGTAAGCGTCACCGTCATCGCCAGCATCGTCAGCATCAGCATCGTCATCAGTATCATCATCTGCACCAACGCCACCACTTCAGTCACCCTCATCATCATCATCATCATCATCAGCATCATCATCATCATCATCATCTTCACCATCATCAGCACCACCACTACCATCATCACTCTCATCCGCATCATCATCAGCAGCAGCATCATCAGCATCATCCTCAACAACAACAGCAACAAACATCATTTTAAGACTGTTCGCCCTTACCTGCTCGAATGTCCAATAACGCCTATTTCCCAAACCCTCGATACCCGCGCAGCGGACGACCCGCGCGTGTCGCTGGGACCCCTCCGGGACGACCTGCGCGCGTCGCGGGAACTCCGCGCTGCGCTGCGCCCGCAGCCTTGGACTTTTGAGTGTGCGGGCAACGAGGGAGTAAAAGAGGGGGAGGAAGCGGGCGCGATCCTCGCGGGGGGGGCGCGCCGACATTGGCGTCGCGGCGCGCGGGCGATGCCGTCGGGGAGTCCCGGGGAAGCTCCTTGCGGTGGCCACGCCAAGCGTCACGAGTATTCAGAGGCAGTCATTCTCAAACTGTTGACATTCATATAAAATTACACCATGCTTTGTCATACTCGCATTCATGCACGTAGACTCGCTCGCACGCAGATTCACTCACAGTCAGACGCACTCGCGCTCAGATTCACCCGCGCTCAGTCTCCCTACGTACTCAGATTAATCGTTTTCGCTTGCGTTGCGCACCACGCCACTCATTTCGGCACAACCTTAGCACGGTTCGTTGCCTCATAGGGATCACCACCGAAAAGGTGAATCACAATTGCGGTACTCACACCTGCATATGGTTGGGTCCCTCGTCAGGCTAATTTTTCTGGGGGGTCGGACCCCTTGCGGGGCTACGTGTTCGACGTTGGACCCCTTGTTGCTCATCGGCCCTAGGCCGTCTTCGGCGGTTTTCGGCGGTCTTCGGGCAGTTTTCGGACAGTCTTCGGCGGTCTTCGGCGATCCTTTGGCGGTCTTCTGGCGGCCTTCGGCGGTGTCTGACGTCTGTGGCGGTTTGCGGCGGTCTTCGGCGAAAAAGCTGGACGGGGTCCATGATCGAACACCTGACCTACCCTCCTCCCCTCGCTACGGTCGGGAACCTTTGCTTGGCGTGTGCGTGTCGCGGCGGCGGCGGCCCCGGCGACGCGTTGTGCCGTGCAAGCGGATATAGCGTGTCGCTGAACTCCAGGTGGCGCGAGGCTCAGGCAAGGCGCAGGCAGTTGAAAGGCTGGGGGCCGGGAAGCGGATCGCGTGCCGCTCCGCAGCATGGTGGGCCAGCGCCAGGGGAGCGACACGCGATCCAAAAGTTCCCGACCGTATCCCCCTTCCCGCCACCCACTTACTTGGTCCCCCCCTCCCCTCGCTGGCCTCCCAAACGGGGTCCAAGCCGATGCGGTCGGAGGAACGCGCCACATCGCCAGGGCACCCTTTGGGAAGTCGATTTCGACTGTAGTTCGTCACCCTCGCCGCCCCCTCCGCTCGCCGCCCTCTCCCCGTTCGCCACCCTGGTCCTCTCGCCGACCCCTCGCCTCACCCTGCCGCCGCCAGCGCCTGCGGCCCCCTCTCCCCCTCCTGTCCCTCCCATCTCACCCCTCCGCGCTCTCCCTATCGCCACCCTGCCCCTCGCGCCGACCCCTCGCTCCGCCCTGCCGCCAGCGCCGCCGACCGCCCTCCCTCCCCTGCCTGTCCCTCCCGTCCCCCCCTGGGCCAGGCGCTGCCGGAGGTGATGGTGGAAAGCCGGCCCATCAAGAGGTGAGCCCACGACGACCCCAGCTCTTCGAGGGAGGCCCCGACGGCCTCCAGAGCACCCCTCACGAGACCCACGGGGCGACGGGGCGACGGGCCCAGGGAGGCACATCACGCCGTCCTTGGGCCAGAGGTGGGCCTGGCCCGGGGCGGTGGATGTGTATAGATCCCGCTGCCCAGACCCAGGCCCTGAGACCCGACGTCACGAAAAGCATGCAAGATCGTGAAACAATCACGAGCAGAGCCTCGGACCGCACCTTTCTGCATTCTTCGAGCCTGTGATGGTCCTGGGGCCCGAAGCTGGACGAAAACGCCGTGATTGACAAAATTGCAAAAAAAAAAAAAAAAAAAAAAAAAAAAAAAAAAAAAAACGAGAACAACAACAACAACAACAACAACAACAACAACAACAACAACAACAACAACAACAACAACAACAACAACAACAACAACAACAGCAGCAGCAGCAGCAACAACAACAGCAGCAACAGCAACAACAGTAACAACAATAACAACACTAACAACAACAACAACAACAACAACAACAACAACAACAACAACAACAACAACAACAACAACAACAACAACAACATTAATAACAACAATATCAACCATAACAACCGCATCACCAACAACAACAACAACAACAGTAACAACAATAACAACACTAACAACAACAACAGCAGTAGCAGCAACAACAACAACAACATCAGCAACAACAACAACAAGAACAAGAACAATAACAAGAACAAGAACAAGAACAACAACAACAACAACAACAGCAACAATTACTAGCACGTGGGGACACTCCGTTCTCACCAGTGCCAGGGTTTTCATACGACGCCCGCCAATACCCCCACTTTGTGGGGGGGCCGGTTCAAGCTCTACCACATTTCCAAACGACTCTTCGCCACCACCCACACCCAGCTTCCCGCCCTATGACGTTCGGACACTTCACTTCGTGGCCTGCGGACGACCGTGGCTACTACACTGGCGCATGGGTACAGTGACTTGTTGTGGTAACATTTCTGGTACTGCGTTTTTCGAGGACCTACGGTGCGATTCGTATGATTTTATGTTGCGCGGTGCTAAAATTCCTAAGAAACCCAATGGTTTTTGAAGATTTCGGCGTGCGCGCGCGAAGAAAAAACGAATGTGTCCCGCATGGTATTATTTGACAGGGATGATGGCCCTGGCAGGTGCGCAACCGTTGTTGCAGAAGTTCGAAAAAGTTGCTCGCAAAGCCCGTTTGACAGAAATGTTTAAAAAGTGTTGGGTTTCCTACGAATCCGCAAGAGCGCGCGGGATGAAATTTTGACAATTTTTTTTGAAAAACCATTGTTGTTTTGATGTTTTTATGTTAAAATCGCTACGAAAACTAAGGTTTTGGAAGGATTTCGTCTTGCGCGCGCGAATGTCCACTTTACCTTATTTTTTGCAAGGGATTCTTGAAGTTTGGTTATGTTAGAACAAGAAATGTCCACTTTAGCTTATTTTTTGCAAGGGAAAACCGATCGTAACAACACAACCGGATCCGGACTCCCCCGTTTTGCCTGAGACTTCCTCACGAAAATGATGAAAATGAGGCTGCGGCCTAGGCGCGGCGGGGGGGTCGTGCACCAGGGGTCCCAACAATAATTATTCTTTAGAAGTAATAATGTTCAACAACAACAACAATTACAACAACAACAACAACAACAGCAGCAACAACAACAACAACAACAACAACAACAACAACAACCACAGCAACAGCAACAGCAACAACAACAACAACAACAAAACTCAGGGTCCTCCCCGAGCTGGGGCTCCGGGTCATACCTCGGACCTCGGCGAGGCGCAGCTGCTGGAGAGCATCCCGAGGCGAGAAAACGTCAAGGAACCAGCGAAGACGTCCGAAGACCTCGAACCAAGATCTCAGGGTAGCTCATGTCATGGCACCCGTCCCTGACGCTGTCCCTGTCTGGAGACGCCCCTGGGAGGGCCCGGGGTCCGAAATGGCACCACAAGCTGGGGTCCCAGACCCCCAACGTCACACAGTAGGAGCTCGACCCCAGGACGTCCATCGATTTTTGGTGTGGGGACGTCACGCTTTCCATGGCAAAACCATCGGAACCCAAGAAATCCAGGGCACCCTGGACGCAAGCAGGGTGTTTCTTGGCATGGGTTTCCATTGCAATTTGTTCATAACGTCGACCCCCAGAGGTCTCGACCCTCTCCCCAGGACGGGTCATTCATCCCGAATCGTTGTTTGACGGCCCCAAGGCCCGGCAAGGGCCCCCCGAGGCCGAAAACGACCAAAAACCTCCCGTCCCGATCCTCGCTCACGACGCGAGCACGTCTGGGGCCACAAGCTGGGGGGCCAGGAGCACCTCGGCAGCAGTTGGCGGCGCGCACGAGGCGGAAGGGGGAGGGGGGGAAGGCTTCCTAGAAGCAGGCTGCTTCTTGGAAGGCGCAGGCCCTGCATCTACAGAGAAGGCCCGCGCCTTCTATTTGGACGCCCGAAGTGGGTCCGGAAAGAATGGGTACAATGCCCAACAACAAATGTTGTCCCAAACCAACAGCGGCCGCTGTTGGGCAGGCGGCCTTCTGTCTCGAATGGACACAGGCCGCGGCGGCGTGGACAGCGAATCCTGTTCAGAATGAACAGGAACTGCTGTTGGGCATCGTACCCATTCTTTCCGTACCCATTTCGGGCGTCCAGATTCTAGGAAGCAGGGGTGCTTCTCAGAAGCCTTCCCCCCTCCCCCCGACCCCCCCCTCCGCGCGTGGCCGAGGCCGCCTCCGGCCGCGAGGCCGCGCGCCGCCGAGGCGCGGCCTCGGCGACACGGGGCCTCCAAGACCTCCGCGCTCCAGACGGCCCCCATCCACCGCCGCATTTTGTGGACACCCGCGCTCCAGACGGCCCCCATCCACCGCCTTGCCCGTGCAGCCAGCGGCGCTGCGCCGACCGCACGAGAGGCCCTTGGGCGAGGCTCTCTCGCCCAACCAGATCCCTGCAGGCAAGGCTTGCGGATGCCATGACAATGGACACTCTAACAATCCGATCATTGAACCAAAAAGATGTGTTTAACATGTGTAAGACGTGTTCTAAACGTGTTTCGAACATGCTTTTCATATATTTAAAACATGTTTGACACATCTTTTTAGACATCTGGAAATTATTTGGCAGCATGCTTCCTCTCCATTGGTAGACTTCCACAAAGCCAGCGACGTTGCGCCAGCCGCACGAGGGGCCCCTGGGCGAGGCTTTCTCGCCCAAGGGGAAGGACCAGACAAACCAGATCCCTGCAGGCACATGTTCCAAAAATGTGTCAAACATGTTTTTTAACATGTTTAGCACATGTTTGACACATGTCTTAAGGCATCTGGAAATTATTCGGCAGCATGCATCCTCTCCGTGAATCGACTTCCACAAAGATATAGCCGTGACCGAAGAGGTGCTGCGTGGAAGGCTGGCCTGCCGCTCGCTGCGTGGATTCGCGGCTGTCCGTCGCAGGCCGCGGGCCTGCGGGCGCTCTGCCCCCCGGAGGCCCGCAGCCTCTCGGGAGGGCCGCGCGGCGCAGCAGCCACTGCGGCCGCCGCGCCCCCCCCCCCCAGGGCGGGGAGGGCAGAGGAGGCTCGCCATCGCTCGGACGTCCCTTCAGGAGGCAACTGCTGGGAGGTTTTCGTCGGAAGGAATCAGGAGGATGAAGCCCCATTCGGGAAGCCGTTGCACCAAAAGGCCTCGGACCAAGCGGGACTAGGCCGGATTAAGCGGGATTAAGCCGGATTAAGCGGGATTAAGCGGGACTAAGCGGGATTAAACGGGATTTCGGACCAGGGCAAAAACAGAATTTGGCCTCCCAGGAGTTGCATCCGAACGCCCCATGCCCCGTGCATCGGGGATAGGCAGAAGCGCGTTCAGGAAAACGCGGCTCGAGAGCGTTTTCTCATTCGGCGTTTCGAAACTGGGCGGAAGGGGGGGGGGGAGGCCCGCCATCGCTCGGGCGTCCCCGCCCCGGGCATCGGGGATGGGCAGAACCGCCTTCAGGATTAAGCCGGGGCGGTCCCTCTACAGGAGGAACATTCGAAAGTGGTCACAAAAAATAGTCTGGGGACTATTGTTTTAGTATTTGTTTATCCATTGGGGGATATGTTTGGGGTATTTTTTATGTTTCATCCAAAATCCCCCTGTAGGAGGATCTGCCCGACTTCAGGATGGGCAGAACGGCCTTTACGAAAACGTGGCTCGTGAGCCTTTTCTTATTCGGCGTTTCGACACTGGGCGGACGGGGAGGGGGGGAGGGGGGGGTTCTGGCTCCGGACCTCTGCTTAGTGCGCCTGTGTGCAGCAGTGCGTCCTCTGGGCCTCTGGGGGAGACTCCACCTGCTCGAAACAGGCGCCCAAAACAGCCACGATCTACTCTACGGGAGGGGGGGAGGGGGGGTACGAGGGCCCGCGCCGATCGGCAAAAGAATGAATGAGCGCTCACTTTAGTGAAAACGACCTCGGTCCCAAACCTGGCGGGCGCAAGCCTGGAAAGTGACGGCCGCGGCGCCCTCTCGAGGACCGAAAACGGGTAATTCGCGAATCGACGTGTCAGGGTGGGGGTTCTGTCCACACCCGAGTGCATGTCTCGGCTTCGTGCGCGTACGTCTCCGCAGGATGACCCAGAATGCTCTGCGATGGTCCTTGCCGAGAGGAAAACAGCACACGCCCGAGCGATGCCAAGGAAGCTAGCGTGGGGGAAGCGGGTCCTGAGGGAACGGGGGTACTGGACGACGAGATCCTCAACCTGAGCTGCTTCCTGACGGCCCCGGGGCCCTGGGAAGGGCCCCGAGGGCTCGAAAACGGCGACTAACCTCGGGACCCGTTTCCCTCAGGACCCGCTTCCCGTGCGGATGCCATGACAATGGACACTCTAACAATCCGATCATTGAATTAAAGACTTGTTTAGCATGTGTAAAACGTATTCTAAAAATGTGTCAAACATGTGTTTTACATATTTTAAGCATGCTTGAAACATCTGATAGACATCTGGAAACTATTTGGCAGCATGCTTCCTCTCCATTAATCGACTTCCACATCGCTTCCCCCACGGCGACGAAGGCAGAGGGCAGGCGGGAGGTGCGGCCTCCTCCTCCTCGACCGGCGCGGCCGCGATGGTCTCCTCCTCGTCGTCGCCCATCGCGGCGAGGGCGGCGGCTCACCGCAGGGAGGCCCCCGCTGCCCCTTGGCCGGGCCGGGTCCTCCCCCCCCCGATGCGGCGGGGAGGGGGAGGGAGGAGGGCTGCAAGGAGGAGGAGGAGGAGGAGGAGGAGAAGAGAAGGAGAAGAGGAGACGAGGAGAAGAGGAGAAGAGGAGAAGAGGAGAAGAGGAGAGAAGGAGACGAGGAGGAGGAGGAGGAGGAGAGGAGAAGGAGGAGGAGGAGCAGCAGCAGCATACGACAGCAGCGTGAGGAGCAGGAGGGGGGGGGGACCGCGGGACATCTCTCAGAAGCCCTATGGGGAGGCCCCGGAGGCCCCAGGAGTCGACGCCCCAAAGCGAGGGCATTCTAGCAGCTCCTCCTCCTCCTCCTCCTCCTCCTCCTCCTCCTCCTCCTCCAGCCCTCCTCCTCCTCCTCCTCCTCCTCCTCCCTGCTCCTCCTCCTCCTCCGTCCCTTCCTCCTCCTCCTCCTCCCTCTCCTCCTCCTCCTCCTCCTCCTCCCTCCTGCCTCCTCCTCCTCCTCCTCCCCCCCCCCCTCCTCCTCCTCTCCTCCTCCTCCTCCTCCTCCTCCTCCTCCTCCTCCTCCTCCTCCTCTTCCGCGTCCCTCGTCCTCCCATCCTCCTCCCCCTCCTCTCCTCCTCCTCCTCCTCCTCCTCCTCAGTCCTGTCCTCGTCCTCCTCCTCCTACCTCCTCTCCTCCTCCTACTCCTCCTCCTCCTCCTCCTCCCCTCCTCCTCCTCCTCCTCCTCCTCCTCCTCCTCCCTCCTCCTCCTCCTCCTCCTCCTCCTCCTCCTCCTCCTCCTCCTCCTCCTCCTCCTCCTCTCCTCCTCCTCCTCTCCTCCTCCGCTCCTCTTCCCTCTCTCCTCCCTCTGCTCTCCTCCTCCTCCTCCTCCTCTCCTCCCCTCTCCTCCTCCTCCTCCTCCTCCTCCTCCTCCTCCTCCTCCTCCTTCCCTGTTTCTTATAAGTAACTCCCCGGTGTCGCAATCCCAACCGTGTCGGTAGGGCGGGCCATGCGTTTCGCCTGAGATTTCTTCACCGTTTATGATCGCGAAGCTTGAAAAGCAACAGCTTCACGGTAAAGGGCGGGCCGTTTGCAAAACGTGGTTCTCGCCTTAGCGCCGCGCACATCCGTTTTGACCATTTGCAACAGTTTCATGGATGAAGGGCGGTTCGTTTTCTAAAGTTGGCTCTCGCCTTAGCGCCGCGATCACTCGCTTTGAAAGCTGGCAACAGGTTCAAGGATTCGAACGGTTGAAGGCCCAGGAATGGTGTTCTGGCAAGATGTAGGATAATCAGAACGCGACAAAATTATCAATTCGCGGTGTTGAAATCACAGGAAAGGTGTTCTGGCACAGCTTAGGAATGTCAGGACGCAACAGTCACGCTGACTCGCGAAGCTGAAGCCCAGGAATAATATTCTGGCACGATTGAAGATTCTCAGACGTTTCTTGTCCAATGGGGCATTTCCCGCAATGAATACAAATTCTTGTAGATTGCTATGAAGAGGGAGCTTGGAGGTAAGGTTGATTGTAACAAGCCTGACGCGTCTTGGGCTTACACTGGTCCGCCTCCTCCTCCTCCTCCTCCTTCTCATCCTCCTCCTCATCCTCTTCCTCACTTCCTATTCCTAAGACATAACATCTCCCTCTCGCACCCGGAGGCCGGTCGAAATTGCGGGCCAGACGTTTCGCCTGAGACTTCCTCACAACTTGTGAGCCTGAAACTTGGAATTTGCAAACATACCACTGATGGAGGGCTGGTCGTTTTCAAAATGTAGCTCTCGCCTTAGCGCCGCGCACATTCGGTTAAAGGAATTGCACGAGCTTCACTTATGTGGGGCGGGTCATTTTCCAAATGGGGCTCTCGCCTTAGCGCCACGCACAGTCGTCTTCGATAACTGCAAAAGCTTCGCGGATGGAGGGCGGCTCTTTTTCAAAATGTGGCTCTCGCCTTAGCGCCGCACACATTCGTTTTAAGACTTTACGCCACTTTCGAGGATTCTCACAATTAACGTCCCAAAACTGATGTTTTGCCACGATGTCGGACTGTCAGGGCGCAACATTTCCGTTGATTCGCGGTGTTGGAATCCTAGACCTGGTCTTCCGGCTCGATTCGGGATCGCCAAGACGTAACAGTAATTGTGATTCGCAGCGTTGAAGTCCCAGGAATGGTGTTCTGGCACAGTTCAAGATTTTCATCCGCTTTCTTCCAACGGGGCACTTCTTTCAATGAAAATTAATATTTTTAGGGGCTTATGAGGAAGGAACTTGGATGGAGGGCTTATTGCAACACCTTTGACGAGTCTTGCGTTTGCACTGGTCCTCCTCATCCTCCTCCTCCTCCTCCTCGTCCTCATTCTTCCTCCTCCTCATTATTCCTCCTCCTCCTCCTCCTCGCCCTCATCCTCCTCCTCCTCCTTGCCCTCCTCCTCCTCCTCCTCCTCCTCCTCCTCGTCCTCGTCCTCGTCCTCCTCCTCCCTCTTCTGTGAGGCGAGGTGGCGAGCCCAGAAATCCTTTCGGGAAGCAGCTCCTGGGAGGTCTTCGTAAGAACGATTGACATCTGAGAAGCCCGATGAATGGGGCCACTGAGCCGGATTAGGCTGGATAAGGCCCAGGAGTGAGCCATATTAAACCAGATCAAGCGGGATTCGGCGGGTGTGTGCTGGATCACGTATGGCCGTTTTCGACCACGGATATACCAGCGCCGATGCTGAATTCAACCTCCCAGGAGTTACATCTTGACACCTGATATTCTCAATACGTGGCCCCATGAGATCTGGACCCTTTCCGCGGGACCAATTTTTCATTCCGGGTCGCTTCTTGACGGCCCCGGTGCCCGGCAAGGAACCCCAGAGGCAGAAAATTGCCCGAAACCCTCCGCACCGAACTGGGGAGGACTGGACTGGCGGCGCGTGCGTTACGGGCCCAAGGACACACAAATAAATAAACACAAATTCCAGGATTCCGCATACTTTTCAACATTTTCTCGGTTTTCGTCTTCCCCTTGGTTGCCCACATTTTCAAATACTTTCCTGGAAATATACGTTTACTTGTGGATGTGCCAATCCTGAACGCTGCGGCCCCAGAGCTCCAGACCCATTCCCTGGGGGCAAGCTGTCGTCCCGGATACACTTCTGGTGGTCACAGGGCTCAAAAGCGGCCCCCGGACAGCGAGCTGCAGAAAAAACACAGCCATTGAAAGAATCGTATCGTCGGCAGGTGGCGAGCACAGAACTCCGGCGCCGTGACTCTTTCACCACGTGGGCCCCCGGAGATCTGGACCCTTTCTGGCTTCTCATCCCGAAGCTGTTCTTGACGGTCCCAGGGCCAGGCGACGGCCATCGGAGGCCGCAAATTGCCTAGACAATCCACAACGAATTCTCACGAAGAGAGGAGGAGGAAGGGTGGGGAGGAGGAGGCCGGGAA